CCACACAGTATCTTATTCATTTGGGGGTTCTCTTCAATTCCCATCTTGGTCAGGCCCAGCCTTCTCCACTTTGGCACCGGGATATGGAGCAGGCAGTCACGGTGGCCCTACTTTCTCCTTCCCTCTCTGTACAAGAGGTTCTATCTCTTTTGTGGATGTGGATTTCCTTGGTAGCTCTGATTTTCTTGGACAATCCCATCACCCTTCCACCTGGGATCAGGGCCAATCTTGCTTAGTGTCGACAGGGACTTGATCACGGTGGGGTTCCCATTCCTCCACCTTGTCTCAAGTCTCACCTGTTCACAGATGCTTCCATGGTTAGTTGGGGAGGTTTTCTTCGATTCCCAAAAGATTTCTGGCCAATGGTGTGTCAAAGAGGCTACTCTCCTTGACAGACCACCCTGGAACTTTAGGCAGTTCATTAGGCTCTGTATTTGCTTTCAGACTTTGGCTCTCCTGTACTAGAGCAATGACTATGACATAACGGTTCTGGCTTGTCATGTTTTCAGAATTATGATTCTTGTGGCTGATAGCTCATCCCGTTCCAACCAGATTCTCCCCACGGAGTGGTCCCTTCATTCTCAGGTATCTCTGTGGGTGTGTTCTCAACTGGAAACCTGCATATATGTGCTTGTCACTCACTGGAATGCCTATCTTCTTTAATTTTTAATTTTTTCCTCACCCCTCAGCTCTGGAGATAGATACTTTCAGTTGAAATTGGAGGGGTCTTTACCTATATGGCTACCCTCTAATCAGACTCTTCTTCAGAGTCATTTCCCTTATCCAGATCACTCCTCCTCCTGTTCTATTGATTGCTTCATATTGGCCAGCTCAGATGTGGTTCCCTTTGCTCTGGCCCTTACTGTAGCAACAGCACTTGCTTTTCCTTTTGTCCTAATCTCTCCTCTGACAACTGTTATAAGATGTATTTCATCCTAACATCACTAAACTCCATCTCCTTGTGTGGCTTTTGTCTGGTCCTTTGCCTCAGCTCAGAGCATCTTTCCTTAGCTGTACCATTTACCCTTCCTCCTTGTGTATGAACCAGAGGCATTTATCCAACTTCTAACTTTGGTCTAATTGACATGGCTTTCGACCATCCTGTACTTCTGTTTCTTACCTGTCCCAGTTCTTCACCTGGTTGTTTGGTCAGGATTTGTCTGTTTCAACTGTTGCTCATAATAGGACTGCCCTGTCGAACACCTTCCATTCTTCCACTTCTGGAAAGTCTTTTCTTCCCTGGTTATTTCCCTCCTTTTTCATTCCTTTTATCTGGTTCATCCACCACATCCCTTTGTTCTGCCAGATTTGGATCTCAATGTTTTCCTTCATACCTTGTCTGGTTCTAACTTTGAACCCATTGCAATGTGTTCATTGTATCATCTTTCCATTTAGACCTATTTTCTCCTCTTGTCGTCCTTCCGATATTTATGCCATTAATGTTTCCTTTACCATTCCTCATATGCTCTCCTCTATCCAGATCGGGTCTTCCTTTCCACAACATCGGCTGCCTGGGAAGGTTGTTTAGCCTTTTCTCCTATTTCCATACCTTCCATTTCCCACCTTGTATCCCTGTTCAGGTCCTGATCGACTACTTTGTCCAGTTCATTCCCTGCTATGTTATATGGCTCACACTGCCTCCTTTCACACTGCCTTCTCATTCCTGTCTATTTGTTCCATGAAATTCCTCTGTTTCCCCTGATAACCTATTAAACTCACTGGTTGGATTTGTCAACTCAAACAACTGCTGTATGCTGACATGTCCGTGGAAGGCCACTATCTACATAATGTTTCTTCACACCAAATTTACCATCATTCAGGCTGGTATGTGGACATCTCCCAATACATTTGATTCACATTTTTTGCACAACCTTACTGTGTCTTACTCTGGCAGGTATCATCTTTCTCCTGTGGCATTTCTACACACTTCTGTTCACCTTCTGACTGGGATAAGTTGACATATTATTTTTTATCTTATTTCGTTAATATATATCATATTTCAGGATCTCACCTGGTGGCAGTTGTTGCCTGGTCAGGTTTGCTTATTATTATATTAACAATAAATCTGTATACTTCTATAGCACTCACTGTTGAGATGGGGTGTTTCTGTAAAACCACCAGCCGCTTATCCTGTGGTGTGTGTGTGTGTACATAGATATATATTTTTTAATCACTGTTTCATATATAAAGAAACATCAGTCATGGACTTCATGAGTAAAGCAGATGGGGTATTTGCCCTTCCCTACTGACCCGTGATTCTTACAGTTGTGGTCTTTCTACTTTTCAACATGGGGAATCATAGACACCCATTGCACTGTCTCCAGTGTGTCATTCCTCTAAACTCCTCAACACATCTCTAGTGGAGAATAAGAGTCCTTGCCACTTGCTGCGGTGGTGGACCATGGAGGTTTTCTCCTGAGTGGGGTTTATACAATAAACTGAATCAAACTTCATTGCTCATATATATACCCACTCAGTGAGAAGAGGGCTATTGTTGTTATACTTATGGATTATGCAATGACATAATATTCTAGATCCAAGATGCTTCCCCTGGATGTTTTTGCCTGGGCTGACCACACTTGGTAATCACAAAATTTCTTATGCAAGGCACTTCCACTGGATGTCTTCTGCCTGGAAGGACTGCACTTGACATTCTCACTAGTATCCCAAGGTGCTTCTCTTGAATTGTTTGCCTGGGCAGACTGCACTTGCTTAATCCTATGTATCCAATGTGCTTTCACTGGATATTTTCTGCCCAGATGGTGCAGTATGATTGGTTCAGGGTAGTCACATAATCAGCACATGTTCTGAAATGGTGCAAAAATGATGGGGTATAAAAGACTAGTACACTGTTAGTAAAAAATGTTTAGCGATGCTTAGAGGGCAAACCAAAATTCAGATATCTTTGGGTGAGTGAGACGAGGTAAGTACTTATTGGAATTACATTTTCAGTGTAAGAAAATATTAACTTATGATAAACAAAATATTGAATTACATATTGCATATGCATGCCTCACAGAGAAATTTTCTTTTTAATATATGTTTTCTTATGTAACTTAATAAGTTTCTAACTTTTATATTCTAGTTACTTTTATAACAATGAATAAGAAATATGAATAAAAACAAGAAGTTTAGTGCTTGCTTATGGGTCTTGTACTTTTTTTTTACACTCAAAGTCTTGATTGAAGTAAACCCTAATTTTTGGTATGGTTGCTGTTAGTACCATTATGAATTTTTATTTATTTCAAATATTCCATTTCGAACACAAAATAATAACATGCACAAAGAATACAATACCCTATAACTATTATAATTTAACAGGCTTTCTAACTGAGCTGTAAGTGCATTAAGATAATTCAATTACCATGTTTGTAATGATCTCAGTGATAAAGACTATGAATTTGTGGAACTAGCATTATAACTCATTCAGTAAATTAAAATCTTATCCATATTGGTTATAAGTAACATAACTGCAAACATCAGATAGAATTATTGGCTTTTTTGAAAATAGTATATGATAGGAGGGTGTGGCTGGTGGGTTTTTCTCAATGTAAATCAACATGATTGGAGACTACAAAATTAGTTAGTCTCACCAATACATCGAAGTAAAGATTGAGAATTTATTCAAATATTTTCTTTTGATATTAAGAAAATAAGCCTTATATTAATATTAATGTTGCTCATTGCCAAATGCTTTTAGAAATAACATTGTTTAAAAAGTAAAACTTGCTTTAAATTTCAGAAGTTTTATTGTGTTAGTTTTCCATTCTTCAAATATCAAAACAAAAAGTTTACACTAACTAGCTAACAAATGTAGTGCCTCTAGGGTAATTAAAATTGAAAGGCTGAAGTTATATAGCTACTACAAACCATTACAGAAACAAAATTACCGTATAATTAAATGATACATAAGTAGTGATAATAGTAAAAATTAGCATTAGCATAACCTAAATTTCATTGCTTAACTTGCATAACTTACAAGAAAGATATTTCATATGACTACTGACTAGAATTTGGATGGTTGTTTCATTTACTCCATACATATGCACATCACATATACAACAAGGGACCTTTTGCTTCATTTAGGCTGTCCTATCCATTGAAATTCAAGTAACTCTTGGAAAGAAACAAAATATTCAAAGCCAGTCTTGATCATTCAAATACTTATCAAGGCTTCTCATTGTTTTAAATGATCTTTATCCACCACATATGAAGGCCAACCACCCTTTTAGAAAAATATAGCTATCTTAGTTGAAGGTGACTCCTACCCTACTAGAATTTATATTTTTATCCTCTAGTCCTAACATTCTCACCATTAAGTACAAAAAAAACATGATGCATCAACACTATTAGTTCTCTTAACAAGTAGTTGATCTAAAGAACAGTATTGTGAATGGGTTTTTCAATTATGGATGATTACTGATTTGTAGATCTCTACAGAACTACATTAAACTATACATTTTATACACTAATGGAATAGCATTCAAAATATGTGCTGAGTATTGTGATTCTGTTTCTAAATACTTGATGTAAGTTAGTGGTGTGCAACCTAAACTAATTTGTGGGCCACATGTGGCCATCAAAGATGGCAACCTCCTCCCCCCATTATCTATAATAAGCAAAAAATAGTACAAATTAATAAAATTAACTATATATATATATATAATACATATTAAAGTTGCAATAGCAAATGTGAGGTATACAAAAAATGGTGACATTTATATTTTCTAGTCTAGGGCCACTTGTGTTGTTTTGCCAAGTTTTTGTAGGATGTGGGGGAGGGAATCTTGGTTTGATCCATGTGGGCCTCATGCTGTAGATTTACCAATCTTTTTTTTCTTCTAATCCTTAAGAAAATTACTTTGATTATTAGGAAAAGTTATATTCAACATTCTTGGCTAATTATTTAAATTTTCACTTTGCTTGTGTTGTACATGGTATTTAAGCAGTTAGTATTATTGTTTATGGTTTATTAAATTTCCTGCTCCTTTTTGTTTTAGGTCCAAACTCTACTTCAAGGAATGCAAGACAAATTTCAGGTTATGTCAGACCAGATTCTTACTAGAAATATCCTTTCAAATGATAATTTACAAGCTTAAGTTCTAAAGTTAAAACATTTAAAAATTAAAAACTTGATCTAAACATATTTGTAATTTGTTCTATCTTTCTAAGGCATTACTGAGGATTAATGGTACTGTACGAGAATAATGTTTCAGGCCCCGCTACTCTTTCAACTGAAACCACATTCCTCATAGTTAGTCATACTCAGTTTAATGACCATTGGTACACACTATTATTGTCCAACATTGCAGTTTGCATTTTAAAAAGCTTCTGTGAAGGATGGTGAAATCAAGTCTTAATCAGTCTTAGACCATACATTTTAACAAACTTTCCATAAACCCTCCACTGCACTTTGATATTGGCTTCCTGGACCATCTAAGCAGATAACAAAATTCTTTTGGAACTATAAAACATGTTATCTGCTGCACCACAGCCCATAACTGTGGCAGTATACCATACTGGCATATAAAGACCATTCTTGAGCAGTGCAATTAAGTCGTTATTATGGGTTAAAACATTTCATTCAGTTTATATAGCGTATAGAATAATAAGATGTAATTTATTTCTGCAGAATTTTCAAAGGTATTTGTTTGCATTGAGAATACAAAGGTCTTTATTTAGTTTATGTGCAAGAAAGACAACTATATTTTCTAATCTAATGTCACATTCCTGTAATTTATAAAATTTAAAGTATTTCGTTAGTTTGTAAGAAAGTATTGCTTTATTCTTTTTTCATTAACACTTAACATTGCTTTGAACATATGATTGCTAATTTTAATATACTAAATGTTGTTTTTTAAGTGGAGTAAATGCTTCTCTCTCTTAATGCTAATTTTCCTGTTTTATGGCTGGTAGTGATGTTTTACGGGGCTTTCCACTGGTGAATGCTATTATCTCCAATATGGTACTTAACAGACTGTTTAATTTCAGAAAGTAAAATATAGTTTATTCTTATTACTTTGAATTTATATGTCATACATGGAAGCATAACGTGGTAGATGAAACAGAACAAATGAAAATGATATTTCAAAAATAAGATTTATTTGGTTTCAGTTGTACTTGAAAGCTTGTCCAAAATTATTCTGATAATTTTTCATATTTATGAACTTAACAGTCACTGATAATTTTTAACTTTTTTTTACTGCCAGGTTTATTTTTAGATACACAATAAAATACAAAAAGACATACATTTTAACATTTCACTGTTATTAGCTATTTGGCTCTGGTAAAGTGGGAAGTTTGGGAGACATTTATGTGCCCATGGCAGTGAAAGATTTAATGCAACATTTGGAATTTTTATTTATAATTGTTAACCTTGTATATTATTACTGTAATGGTTGTTTTTTGTTTGGAAGATAGTGTGTTTTATTTTGGTTATTTTACAATAAAATAATTTCTTTTTAACTAGATATAGATAATGTGTAACATTATTTACATTCCTGAATTAGTACACTGTGTGTGTGTGTTTGTAAGTAATAAATTTGAAATATTTACCATAAATTATTTATTGCACAAGTATAAAAATTGTTTATGCTAATATTAATGTGTTATATACTGTATAATAGAAATGCTCATACACAGTTACATTGTTTTCTTTAACTGGGACTACTTGATGAAATGGGTCACAGGATTGATGACCTAGAGAAAAATATAGCTGATTTAATGATGCAGACAGGAGAAGAAGGAGAGAAAGGTGGTTCAGGAAGTTGAATGGAACATTATAAAAACAGTATTGAACAGTCATGAGTGACTTTTTTCGTATTCTTAAATGTTTTCGTATTTGATGAAAAAGCTCCCAACAAAAGTTTTGAAGATGAGGTATTGTAGGTCTGATTGTGTTTACTGTGTATCCAGTTGAACCAACACAAGTATACTAATTCATCATTACTCCATTATTTATTTTTTTTTGTCTGTTTTATTTGCTCAGTATATAATATATAACTATTGTTTAGCTTCTCTGCATGTTTTTAGAATTATTGCTGTTATTTTTTCAAAAGTAAAAATATGTTAAGTTTCTAAAATTTGGCTGAAATGGTTTCATTTGTCTGTAATTATTATTTTTTCTTTTAACTGGTATTTTTTTCTCAAGAAAAAATTAATTTCATTAGGTTTCAGAAAAATGACTTCACAGTGCTTGTGTGGTAACTTTAATTTAACAGCAATGATTTTCCCTACATCATTCCATGATAACTGCATAATTTGTATGCCTTGTTTTGATATTTCTAGTTTAATTCAATGATATGTCAGTTTTTTATTAAAAATAAAAGCATTTTTAAAATTGAAGCTACTGATTTGTATTACAGACAGCTTTGAAAAGAAGAAATTGGTGCAAGAGGAAATGTTATTGATGTTTTATCATATGATAGCTTAAGTTGTTTTCCTGAATTTTCTGTAATCAAATACTAAAATCAGGTTTCTTTACTAAACATTTCTTCACCCTGTGAGCATGTAATAATCATGCCCACATTGTTTCAGTATTACCCTGTAACTTTATACAACACTGTTTAAATAGTTAAGTTGAAGGTATTTTTCTGATTGAAATTTTGCATTAGGCCTATCCTTTATCATTTAGTTTAAATTAATTTGTAAGTGTAATAACTAAAGCACAGAATATCATCGTAAGTAAAATTTAAAAATAGAAAAATAATGTTTTTGTTGTATATGTGTTTTATTCAACAATTTTGTAGATAAATTACTCATAATAAAATTATATAATCTTATGTAGTAGGATCTGAAATAAATTTGACACATTTGTGGCACATAGAAGTAATATTATGCATAGTCTACCAACATCTAAAATTAAAATTAGTGTTGACTAATTGAAAATTATATTTGACGTTTTGTTTATTTTTTACCAAGAAAGTAAACTATAGTAATCTAAGTGATACCTGTGAAATGTTGAGATAATCTGAAGCTTGGTCTACTATAAAATATATATAAAACACACTACAGTATGATCTGATGTCTTAGAGAAAAAGATATTAGAATATTTGTTGTATGATTTACACAAGAGATATACATAGTAGAAAACTAAAAACATGTATGATATTTCTGAATAGGAATCATCACTTTTACAAGTTTCTAATTTTTATGTTTAAAATTAACCAGTTGAGTGTAAATGTTTCGAATTTTTAATAATTTCTAGAAATTCCAGCTTTTGAAGAATTTGACTTGTGTTAATTTTAGATACTGTAACAAGATTCATCTACATGTAATAGTTTGCAGCTTTTGATTTGGATTGCTGACAAAGATCTTTATTATTAATCTTAACTACAACCAATACATGAGGCTTATTACATTTAATGGTAAGTATTCAGATAGAACTTATTTTTTTAAAATTTCCTATTTACAGGATTGTTTTAATAATAATAATAATAAACATACAGAAACTTACACTATAGAATATGATTAATTTACAATAACAATTATTATCCACCTGTGGTACTTTGAACTTTTAAAGATGACATTTTATTTGCTGATGTGGAATATAATGAAAAATTTGCCACTAATCATCCATATTTCATAGATCCCATCATAAGAGGATATTGCAGAATAAACAGTTCTCCCAGAAAGGGAAGACTTTTCCACTGACCAAGAGGACAGTGCAATTCAGTTTGGTTGTTCATTGTTCTATTCAGATAACTATATGAAAAAGTTTGCCTTGTGGTCCTGTGATATTTGAAAAATACCATAATTACTTCCTCTTTTAACTTTGAAAAAAAAGTGAGCAGTTTAATTTCACACACATTTTCACTGTTAAACATGTTTGGTGCTCTTATTGTTTTCGATGTGCAGTTAAACTGACTATTACATGTCTTGATCTTCTTGTGTTATTCATGTGTTTTGATAGGTCATTCTCTTTTGGTGTTACTGAACTTTCCCATGAGGGTGTCATTGGAGAATTCTTTAGTGACACCAGTCACTTAGAGGTTTAGAGATACCTAGAGGTTGTCTTCTGTATTTTAACTTTTGGGGTAACCAAGTGACATTAGTAGCAAGTGCCCTATGGAAAAATTTACTATTATAATAAGTATAAAGTTGTTTGTTCTGTCAGTTGTATGCAAATCTTGTTCTTGGATAGAGCTATTAACAGCTAGAGATTAATTCTATCTTTTGTTTTGTCCATAAATCATTTGAATTATTTATATCTTGTGTGGTAGAGTTAATAAATATTAATTTTTGTGTTACTACAAACTTGTGTACAGCTTTTTTTCTTCAACTCAGTCAAGTCAGAGATTCAATTTCACAGTGTAATATATTCTTCTAGTTACTACAGTTACTATTCATACCAGAAGGCTAACGGTGTATCTGAGAATACTACACTCCCACATACAGCAAAATCTGCTGTAAGTGGGAACCATTGAGTAAGATTATCGCTTTGTTCATAAAATTATGTAATTTAATTTATATGTAATTTCACAGTGTAATATATTATTCTAGTTTTTACAGTTACTATTCATACCAGAAGGCTAACGGTGTATCTGAGAATACTACTCTCCCACATACAGCAAAATCTGCTGTAAGTGGGAACCATTGAGTAAGATTATCACTTTGTTCATAAAATTATGTAATTTAATTTATATATGCGAATATTTTCAAGCCATATTTGTCGTGTTCATAATAAGTTCTATTCACTGGATGGTTGGAGAATATTTACAAATGTGCTAAACATTTTGTAAGATATTAATTTCAAGCCATTTCTCTTGTTAGTTTAGAAATTATAAAGCAAATATAAAGGTAAGTAAAGATTTGCATGTATGGTATTGGAAATAATTATAGAGAGACACAAGCAATATACATACAGAAGTTACAAGCAATGAGTAATGGCAGTTAGATGGAGAATTTATTAATGATACAAAACATTATCACAGAAAATGCAAAATAAAAGCAAATATGTTGTAAAATGCTGTATTTTTTATATGTGCATCCTTTGCCTTACACCTTGTTTTCATGCTGCCATACAGTTTTTTCAATGTGCAATTGTGGAATATTGTACCAAAGCTACTCTTACTTCACAATTCAGCCAAGTCATTTGGTCACCTTTTGACTATCCCAATTTATACACAAGTCATTACAGCCTCAAGAATATTGGCTGTGAAACTTTGTGCAGGTAAAGCCATGGTTGAGAGTTTTTCCATTTGTCTCTTTTTAGCACATTTACTGTATGCCTGGAATCATCGTCTCACTGGAAGATGAATCCCTGCTAGATGAGTTGTGCTTCTTAGGGATTTACGTGGTGGATTAGAATCCACCTGTACTTGTTACCAGTCAGGGTGCCATCATTTTATGTAGATCATCAACACCATTGGCTGAGATGCAACCTCAAACTTGTACTGATCTCCCACAAGGCTTCATTGTAAATGTTGCACTTTGACTTTGATACCAACTACTTTCGACTACAGAATAAATCATCATTGATTGTTGTTGAATAATTTGAATTTGGGTATATCTATAAATAGCACATAGCTCCAACTTTGCTTATTCCACTGTTTGTGGTCTCATGGCCATTTCGAACTTTTTGTTTGATTACCTTTTCTGAGCAGCTGTTTGTCCAATGAGACCACTTTGTGTTCATGTTTATTCTACTGTTCTCAAGATAGCATTCACACATATAATTAAAGCAAAGTTGTTTATCTTGCAAAGAACATCATGACATCATCAACTACATCTATTATCAACAATGCTACTTTCTTGTACTCTCTTTAGACATGTATACAGCTCCTACATCTAGAAATATGTAGTCTTACAGCAATTTTTCTCATGGAATATCTTTAATCAGATAAAACATTTATTTCTACGTGCTTTTAATGCAGTATTTCAGCCCTGGGAGCCATGAATGGATTCATGCTACAACTACTGGGCATATTATTAATGCTTGTAGTTTTATAAACCATACTGGTGTGGCTCTTCCCAATTGTTTGGATGACAACCAATTACAGTATAAATTATATCATCAACAAGTACTTTGGTACAGTTAATTTTCACACAATAATATGGTATCATTCTAGTTACAGTGCTGTCCAAAGAATCATATGGAAGATGTATATGTGTCTGAGGTCTAATGTTGAAGCATATTATGGTCATGTGTATATAAACTTTAGCAAGTGCTCATGATTGTTTCAGGGAATGTTTTTAAATTTACAAGTTTAAGTTTGTTTCTAGAGTGAGGTTTTACATAATGTGACTTAATAATTAAAACTTTATTGAAAGTTTAGGAAGCAATTAGAGCAGTTGAGTTAGGTTAGAGTAATATTTACAGGGGAATATTGATTTTGGGGTATGCTGGTAAGTTAGTGACATTTAGTCAGTGAAGTTAGTGAATTATTGAGAGAGGGAGTCTGTAAGCCAGTAAATAAGTAAGTTATTATGAGACACTTATTATTATTTTAGTTTTCTTAATTTGGAGTTTGTGCTTGCAATGGAGTAATAGAGGTAAGAGAAATATAGTATGTATGAGAAATTAGCAAATAAGCAACATTTTTATATTTGCGTTATTGTGAACTTAGGCTTATCACTGAACATTAGTTAAGGTAACTTGTAGTTGAAGAAATAAAACACTTCTATTATCATTAAATGGACTGGACTTTGCATTCTTCTTATTGAATAATCTGGTCAATGTTAGAAATAATTAAAAAAAAACTGCTTTCACTGCATGGTACTTGAACTGTTTAAAGATATAATGAAATGTTATTTTTATCAAGTCTTTCAAGCTAATTAATTAAAATACAGTATATCATGTAACATATTGCCATAATTTTTATTGGTTTCATGAGTTGAAGAAGATATCTGAGTTATGTTTTAAATATATCATAAGTTGCAAGGACACCAAGCTAAATATTAACATTTTCCTTTCCTTAGAATTATTTCAAATAGATAAATTCCCCACAGAACTTACAGCTATTACCAATGCTTAAAAGACTATTCCACATGCACCAAGCCTTGAATGAAATTCCTGCTCCAAGACATATTAATATGTACTATGGTAGTCAGACTTAGTGTTATCTTCAAACACTCTGGATGTTGATTATTTGACTGCCAACAGTTGAATCATCCTCATCTAAGATCCTGCCAGTGTTGTTGTTTTGTCAGACTCAGTGTATGATGCAATCATCATTAGACTATAGCTCTTCACCAGTAAGGTGACACATCCTCCATGCAAAGTAGACCCCATGAGTACCTCATCCTTGACAAAGCTAAAGAAACTCCCTGGAAGTGGGGTGGTTCTGTAGAGTGGTGAGTATCTATCTGAAATACATTTTCATGTAAAGAAAATGTTAACTTCCAATATAGGATATCTTACCTCCTCTTACAAAATATCTTTTCTCGATTAGTACTGCCCTCTATCGGCGCAATGTTTCAACGCTCGCCATTAGCCTTTCACCTCCTGCTTTTGCATATCCACACGTCAATGATTATGCATCATTTTTCTACCAATAGGAGTGCGACACAACCCCTATCGTAACCAGCGCCCTCTCCACATTTGCACACGTTAATCACTTCTAGACTGACTGTAGTATTGTACAGACGTGCTTGTTTTTGCTCACAAGTTTGTGGACGTTTTTCTTAATACTACAGACATAGTTTGTCTTTAATATTTCGCGTTTTTGAATTGTGCAAGGTTGCCTATTCCAGTGTTTCTTACTTTTTCGTATTTCCTTTTTTGCTTCACTGTTGGAATTGTCAGCATGCACTCGCAGTTCAAGGTATTTACGACTACTGCTGTGGGTTTACTGACCACTACTACCTGATTGAGTACTCAATTATCGGCCGAGGACGTGACGGCAATTGTTCAACGAGAAATGGCCACGTTCATGCAACCTTCATCACCACACGAGGAATATCCTGTCATGCCTGCTCTTGGGGGTGTATGACAGGAAGGACGAGAATTTGGAAAGCCTATCCCCCCATCCGACTATGCTTCCCAGTCACGAGAGATATTGAGGAATTTACCCAGACCTGCTTCACCCTTTGTTGAATTAACTGATCAGGTTTTTGCTGTCTTGTCCTTATCTCTTGTTACCTATGATTGCCAATCTTCCCTCCAATCTAGGGGCTAATATTTAGTTTTTCCTCTAACCTGATGTTGGGGTTCAAGCCCAGTATGTTTGGGATCAACTTCAGTCCGCCTCGTACATCTGAAGATCATGCTTATGCATTTCATAGATCTGCCTTTCCTTATCTTGATTCCCAACGTTTGAAATCTCTCATTCCAATGTGGGTTTCAAACCTTAATGCACCAGTGAATTTTTCACAACCTCAGTTTTCCCTATCAGACTGACGTTGTCCATAAATCTGCATAAATTATCGACTATGCAGTTACTGGTTCAGGCAATTCACTTGTCTCCTAAAGGGTTTTCAGATGATGTTCGTGATCTTCTGTTTACTACAGTGGCATGTTGGGAACTGCTGGGTCTGGATGCCATTCTTTCACGAGTACGCTTACCCACTACTTCCCTGTGTGACTTGTGCATTACACCTTTTTTACATGAAAAGTTGTTTGGGGGTCTTCCCGGCTCATTGGAGGCCACGACTTAAGCCTACTCATCTACATAATTCTTTATTCTCGTTAGCTTCCTGTTTATCCCAGTTTTCTCCTACTGTTTCTGTGTCTCGACTGCCCCCCCCCCCACCAATCCAACCCTTTGGTGGTTGTTGCTCGTAAGTGTCTCAGAGGATTACAACATCGATGACTCATCTCCAAAGTTGGAGTCAGGCTTTTTTGTTTTTGCCATAGGTGGACACTATTTACAACGGATCTATGGGTCCTACAGGTTCTTTCACTTCCATTCCCCTCCATCATTGTCTCCTCATCCTGTTGCATTCCCCCCACCAAGGAATCCTGCTTCTTTCTGGCGTCTACAGGAGGCGGTTTGGGACTTACTTCAGAAAGAGGCATTTGAACTTGTGCAACTTTCTCAGCTAGAGTTTTATTCCCGTTTGTTTGTTGTACTCAGAACGATGGGAGATTGGCGACTGGTTACAAATTTATCATCCCTGAACTGTGTCGTGGTTGTATCAAAATGGATGATGGAGTCTTACTTAACCCTTTGGTGGGTTTCACTCGTGGGTTGTGGATAATGAAAGTTGGCATGTTGGATACCCATCTCCCAGGCATCTCAGAATTTCCTCCATTTTGTTCATCAGGGGCATGTTTATCAGTTTTGAGCTCTACCATTTGTCTTGGCCTCAGCTCC